GCTCAAACTCGACCACTTACTAAATATTCGATTGACCAAATAGTTATCACTTGTTTTTATTTGTCTATAAATACGTGTATAAAACATTATTTTAAAAATATCGTGATTTGACCGATAACCGATTTGAAACCGACCCCCAATAACTATGTACTGCAATGCTACTATTTTTTTAAAAAAAATTATGATTTGACCCGAACTCATAACCGACCACTTACTAAATATTCGATTGACCAAATTTGCTAGTAATAGTGATTTATATGTTACGGCACCGTTTTTAAACATAAGTCTATCAAACTTGAGTCTGCTAAGGATTATTCCAATCTTTCTCGGTCCGGTTTATTTGCATAGGGGGGGGGGGAATCAAGATTATCAAAAAAACCTATAATAATTTCTTTTCAGATTTAAAGACAAATTTTTTTAAAAAAAATGTAATTTTTGGGTCAGATGATGAAAAGCACTCATTTAATTATAAATATATATGGGCAAAATATTGGATTAACCGTTTTTTTTTAAAAACCGAACTATTTAAAATATCATAGTGTTAAGTTAAAACTCAATATTTCATCCAGAAAAATATTAAACAAGCCTGAAGATTTTCCTCGTAGAAGGAGCAGGAACAAAGGTTCTAGACATACATTCTCGAAATTTCTATGCTCGGGAAATATTTTTCGGGCTAAAATATCGAGTTCGGTGCAAAACGAGCGGTTTAACAACACTTCTATATTAGGTTTTATATACATACATTCAAATTAAGAAAATTCTTTAAAAAAAAAACTTCATTAATAAATAGTAAATAATTTCTTAAAATTTCTTATATTTTTTTTATTTGATACAAATCACGTAATTTTAAAAATAATTTTATTCAAAATGGGAACTTCCTTAGCCATGGCATCCGTCATCAGTATCAGGTGAAAGGTAAGTAGAAAAAAAATTATTATTTTTGATGAGTAAAACGCCATTATCTCATTGGTTTATTTTGATATCCAATGCGTTTATCTGATACTGCAATTCGTAGAACGTCAATATATTTTTTTTTTATTTAATCTAATTTTCTTTTTCTTAGAAAAATGAGAATAACAGGTTTGAATCATAAATAAAATCCTTTATTTTTAAATCTTTTTATAAGTTAGAAAACATCGAAATAAAAAAAATGAAACTCGACAACGAAACAGTCTCCTGCCATAATTTGACAGAAGGGAACTTCACGTCTAAATATGGCGACGAATTATATTTTGAATATGGGATTATATATTCTCTCGCGCTACACGGGATGTTAGGCAACGCCCTCTTCTTGGCCTACACTACATGGTGAGTCGCGAAAGACGGAATCTCAGTTTCTATTTATTCTACTGAGGTTGATCAGCGTCACCAATTTTTGCGTTGATCTTTGCGATTTCGCGATTAGGGTATTCATCCATGTTTTAATGACATTTCAAACTTCCTTATTCATTTTACTCTTGGACCTATGCTTGCACCACTTTGTAGGGGCCCTAATAAATACTTTAAAGTTATTCAACGTCTTATTGATTATAGCTATGAGTCTGGAGCGATATATGATATTAGGTTACTTCCACTGGCATCGAAAATATTTTGTGGTTGTATATGAAATACTTGATGACAATTATTATAACCATAACCGTGACAATAATGTTTCCGGTTTATTACAATTATTTCCGTGTTTGGGTCGACTTTGTTAACGTTAAGTCGAATATAACGCTCTCAGATGATATATATTTTAGTTACACATTACATGATCGCCTAAGCATATTCTACCTAGTTTATCAGGAACTTTTCTTGATAATAATTTTGCTCTTCATGTTGGTAATTGTTTAGTAATATTATATTATATATATATATATTTGCGTAAAGCGACAAAATAATAGTGACTATTAGCTTCAGGGCCGCCGTAAAAAAGTTGATGAATCGAATGAATAGTACTAACCTCACTCGACTAGTTCTGCAGAAGAAAGCAAATCGCACTCTAAGGTTGCTCATATGTTTGTCCGCTTTTAGATTAGTTAGCTATTTCCCCATTATTGTGATTTTTTTGTTATTACGTATTAACCCACGGATGAGAATCTCAGGAGAATGGGCATGTTTTCTAGAAAACCTTTATTACTCGATGAATTTTTATATTTTCTTCATTTTCATGCAAAGCGTGAGTAACTCGTGTATTCTGGGATTCAACACACTTATCCGGAAAATAAGAAAATTTAGGAATTCTGTCTCTCCTGCCCCAAGACCGGCATTTAGGTTGATAGAGCTTTATAGTCACTAGAGAATTCAGAAGACCATCTTCTTTGGTGAACTCACTTTTTTTGAGGCAACTTTCAGTCAATAATTTTAAAAAAATTGTATTTTAATAAAAACAACTTGTACAAAAATAACAATGTTACTTTCCTTGTGGTAAATAATTAAAGTCAAATATTCATATGTAACCTTAATTTAATTTCAAATTTTCGTAATTTTATAAAATTAAATTTTTGTCGCCGTGATTTGTAATAAACTTTGTAAATCGTGAATTATAGAATAATAAATAAACAATTTGTATTATTTAGTAAATTTTACATTTATTTGTTTGACTACCTATCATTTAGGCCTCTTAGGGATGAGAAAATTATTTTAAAAGTATATATATATTCGATACATTCACTGTAGTACAGATACTTCTGGTATACAAATACATTAGATTCTTTAAATAAAAAAAAGGATATTATAAATTTGAAATTATTTTTATCATATGGCCTAAGTCCATTTTATTAAGGTTATATCTATTTGATCAAATTAGTAAATCTAAGCGAGCCGAGCCCCCTTACAGGAACTTAAGATTTACAAATATAATTTTGATTAAAATATTGGCATATCACGTGACGATCGTTTTTGAAATGAGATTTCACAAACTCAGTATTTATGAACTCATTTAAAAAATCACCTGACATAAATGTCGTTGGACGACAGTGTTCGGACATAAAGACATTCGGACAAAATACCCTATTTTTTTAAAGTGTTTAATTTTTTTTTTCTAAAACAATCATTTTTGACCAGTATCTTTTGGTCCGGGGTTCTTTTGGATATTTTTGTCCGGGACATTTATGTCAGTGATTAATTTTGAATCTGAAAATCAACTATTATGAAATATTTAGGTTACCTTTGAAGATTTACTATTTTCTTTACAAAATTTGAATATACATGAATGGTTTTGAACAGATGATATATTTAGAATGAATGAATGCAACAAAAAACAACCCAATATATGGAGGTCTCATGCAAATAGACCAAAAATTAAAAATCTGACCACTTTTTCGAAGTAGACGCATTTTCTGATAGTAGTTAATGGGAATTTGATTAAAACTCCAAATTCTGGTCAAATTAGGGAGTTTCCCAAATTATCGGGAGCCTAAATTAGACAGATATGACAGTACTTCAATCAAATAATTCATAAAATAAGAGGAAATCTTTAAAAAAAAATAAAATTGTCCTAAATCGAATTAAAACAGACGATTTTAAAATATTTGAGTTAAATTGATTTTTAAAAAAAATAATATCGTTTGGCAATTATTTCCTAGATTTAAATAACAAAAAAATAAATCAAAGAAGATTTAAATCATAAATTTCGGAGTGTTGGTTGGGTGGCTAATGAATATCGAATCAACAAAATTCAATAAAGTCATCAAGACAATTCTACCAACAGACGAAGACGAAGTGATAAACGTGACAAAAACAGGTAATAAATATAAAATTTCTAAGGATCGCCAAATTCTCACGAAAAAACCTAGCAAGTGGTCATCGGGCCGCCAAAGTGACGAATTATCAAAAATTTTGAATGAAAACAATTTGGCCAAACGAACCAAGAAAACGCACTATGGTGGCAAAGATACGGTTAATATTCCTCCTAAAATTCCTAAGCCTGCCATAATCGCAGACGGTATTCATGCCCGAGGCCATTTAGCCTCAATTATTTCAGCGAAAAAGGTATTAAAACGAAAATAGTCATGTATATAAAGCACTATCATAAATACAATAATTGTTTCAAGAGGGAAATTGAAATCGTATGGAAAGCAAATGACTTTATACGATTTCCAGCCGTTTAATTCTTATAATTTCGATTTCATTTTTTTTAAATCGGTCTGTTCGTATTTATTTAGTTTCTAAAGCCGGTTTTTAAGGGCGGTTTCGAGCCAGGTTAATATCCGTGCCGGGCTTGCAATTCTCTTATTTTAAAATTAGTCCTTTTTTTTGTTCTTCTTATTGCACATAGGGATATATAAAAAACGAAAACAAAATAACACGGTTAAAAATAATTTTTAAAGAAATTTTAGCTCAAAAAATCAAATTTATAAAGATTAATTATCTTTTAAAAACTTTATTTAGCGAGGTAGATTGTGATATGGCAAATTTAGCGAGGTAGATTGTGATATGGCTTAAAATTCTCAAAATAATATATATTTTATTGTTTCTGCTTCTAAAGCTCTGATACTCGTAATAAAACACAAAAAATGGCGTTTTTTAAAAAAAAAAAACTTTTACTTCTTGTTATTAAATATTTAAACGGCAAAAAAAATGCTATTATTCCGAGATCTTATTCCAATCAACATGACAAATCAATTTTAAGTTTTTTTTATAAATATAAATAATAACACGTGATTGATTATCAGATGGCACTAATAAAACTCAAGAATTTAATCGACGAAACCCAGAAAGAAATGGAGGCCATCAAAAACAAATCTTACGCTGCGGAGAGAACGTTAAAAGAATCTTCCGCTTCAAAATAATAATTTATTAGACATTTTTAGTATTGTTAGAAGTCACTCATATCTTTCTTTCTACTTTCCTTTCCTTCCCTTCTAACCAATAAATCTTATGAAATTTTACCGCATTTTAAAGATAAAACTTCACCATAAATTACGGTATTTACAACATTTGTATTTAAAATTTATTATATTTTTATTAAAAATTAATAAATATTACAAATCTACAAATTGATATATATTTCCCCCTTTTAAAATCCTTTAGGAAAATAAAGTAAAAACTGATAATATTTTTGTTATAATTTTGTCAAAAAATATTTAAAAGTGTAATTTATATACATGACAAGTTATAAATGATAAAAGAGCGATATCTAAATATAGAATTTTAAAAAACATGTGACTTAATTATTTCAGTCCAATTCTAGGAGTAGAGTTATGGGACAATGATCGCTACCAAACACTTCTTTCCTGATGATGCTGTCACATATCCTTGGCAATAGTCTTTCGGATACTATAAAATAATCGATTCTCCTTATATTAAAAAAAAATATAAATAATTTAATGAATAATTCTAACCCTATACATTTTCCTTCTTCAAATAAATAACAAATAAGTTATCTAATCAGATGTAATATGACGTAATTTAATCTAATGATTAAAATAGACTAATTGGGGATCCTCCCCCTAGGAACCTCCCATTCCTAAACTACTTACTCAAAGTGATTTTCTATCTAAACGAAAATGAAATACTTGTAAAAATTCAGACAATTTTTTTAATTTAATATTATATTCCATTTAATAAATGTAGATGCTGAAAAAAAGGTGTTTTTCGACAATCAAAATTTTATATATAAATTATAATCTTTTATAAAATATCATTTTAGATTAATAGAAATTAAATTAAGGTATTTTCCAGAACGTTCCAAAACATGAAATGGGTAAATTTTTTTGGCCGGAACAAGAATGGGGTACCAAAATGCACATATGTTCTGGGTCGCTGATAAAACACGTGACTTTTTTATTTTTTTAAAATAGAAAATATAAAAAAAAACAATTTGAAGCAAGTTATGAAAAGAATGACCTAAATCACTATTTATTTATTTTTTTTTAAATATGATATTTTATTAACATTTGATTAATTAATATTAAATGCAAATTTAATTTATAATTTTTAATATAAAAATAAAAATGTTATATTTAAAATGAATTAGTTATTATAAATATAGTTATTTTATTTATAAGAGTATTTAAAATTATAGCGAATAAATTTCACGGATAGATGCTTTCCATGATGAATTAGCTCATATCAATTTCACGGATAATTTAGTTCATGATAAAAAAAAATAGAAGAAGATAACTTTGAAAATTCTTTTGTCGATAATTAAAGAAATATAGTTTTTTTTAAAAAAAATAAAATAATGACTCTTATTACAAAGAGCGCGTGCGCGAAATCCCGAAATTGATCGACGTTTGATTGGATAATTTTAATTTTTTTTTAGTTTTTTGTAAAAAATAATGGCTCTATATTACAAAGAGCGGTGCGCGAAAATCCGGAATTGATCGTCGTTTGAAAGGATGATTTATAACCGAAGGGGAGAGAAGGTGAGTCTGAGTAGTTAGAGTTTGATGGAAGAAAAAAATATGAAATGAATTGGGTGATAGATAATAAAGTTAAATGATAAAAATAAAACATGGGGATTGTCAATTAAAAGAAAATGAATATATTCAGTAAAATCTGTCTAGTTTGTTGTGACCAAAATGCCCAATTTATAAAGACTTATTAGTAGTTAATAGGAATTAAATAGGTAACCCCAAATTTTGGGTCAAATTAAGGAGTTGCACAAATTTGAAAAGTTCTACTGTATAAAATATTTCGTAATTTTTTATGGTATTTTATTTTGCAGGTTTAAGAGAAGAAATTGCTTTTATTCGTTTTAGTGATTATTATACTGAGAAGTGTTTCGGGAGCCTAATATCAGGTGTCAATCATTTTAAAAGAAGAAAAAAAATGTACGTAATTCGGCAATATATGTGTATGAACTCTTTGATTTATATTTTTTTTAAATTTTCTAAAATTAACGCGGAACGCAAGTCGCCATCTTTTTTAGTCATATTAGATGCCCCCATTTCAGACATACCTTAATATAAAAACCGCGGTTTAGTAATTTCCCCCCAGAGTACCTGGAAGAAAATATTTTGGACCAATGAGCCCCTACCCCCTTAGCGACGCCATTGTAATAGAAGAACCCCTTATTTATTACGATTTGTTTGTCAACAATTATTGTTTTTCGTTAAATATTTATTTACTATATCGCATATCCTTAAATACTGGATAGAATAGCCCGCCATTTGAATGATGATTTTTATTTCTTTCTTTTCTATCTCTCACTCTCTCTTTTCAAATCGTTAGGCTCTAAAATTATTTCTAGGAAAAAATAAAATACTAATTACCATCCGATATTTTTGATACGCGCGCTAAACATGTAACTCCAATAAGTGTACTGCCCTTCCATATCCGGATAAAAGTGTCGGAACGTATCCACGAATCCGCATCGCAAGAGTTCGCCGAAACTGTCTCGTTCTTCCTTGGTAAAGCCCGCACTTTTTGTATTAGTTTTAGGATTTCTGAGATCTGTTTATTTATTTAATTATAATATCTCATTCAGCAGCTGTTCTTGTAAAAGGCCCTCTTCTATAATTTTTTATTAAATCAGATGTTAAAAAGTGGAGATTTCCCTGCAACGTTAAAAAACTCCTTAGAAAAAAAATTGAGATTAACAAAGTGAGCTAGGTCTATGATAGTGATCGACAGTCAAATAGTAGAAAATAAAAAATATTTTAAATTTTTAGGGTACATATATATTAATAAATTTTTTTATGTTTCCAGTATAAGAAGTGGGATAATAATGTAACCTCATAGATAAGTCAGTGCGAACCTAAAAAAGATCTCTTTTCCAAGATCTAAGGCTAACTAATCGAATTTTTCCCATTTAATTTATAATTAATTCTCCGCTTTATAGAAAAGCGTTTAATTTTCCAATGAGCGATAAACTGACCATAAAAAATCACGTTTATTAAGAGAAAAAAAACCTATTTCGTTGTGCGCGACATTCAAATCACCGCATATTATGACCGGTTTCTTGGCATCAAGATCGGTTAAGTAATTTCGGAAGCATCTATCCCATTCCAGTCTGTATTCGAGTCTGACAAGCTTATTGCCAGAATTAGGGATATCTAACAAATTTTTTATTATTATTATTATAAATAAAAATGTTATATTCTTTAAAATATAATAAATTCCTTTAAAAAATTATTGCCGAAACAAGAGCGATAGATGTTTCATATAAAAATCTTCTTATACAATAAAAAATCTTAAAACCATATGAATAATAGATGATAGAAATAGAATATTCTAGAAGTGTCAGTGCTAAACAATGAGTTGTTTTTTAAATAAAATTAAAACTTACACACATTGACCAGATAGAATTGGTCATATTCAGCTGTTATAACCCTTCCTTCGTTGTCGTGTTCATGTTTACCTTGTTGAATGGATAAGAAGTTATATATATATATATTTAGACGAGTTTATTTGTATCAAATATTAAATCCGGCAGGAAACCGGGTAGTAGAGATCTGTAAATCACGGCCCGGTCCGTACTCAACCCGAACGAATTTTGGACATGACCGGGTCTATTTGAATAATTTCGGTTAGGGTCGAACTTAATATTTATATAAATAAATTTGGGCCGGGCCGAGGAGACAAATAATTTGTATTTCCGGTCGGGCTTTTCGGGAACCGGGCTAGGGATTAGGCCCGAGGCAGATCACTTATTTATAGTAATCTTCCTGAGCTACCCCTTCCCCCCTCAGTCTTTAATCCAGCATATCGGAGCTTTATATAGACTGAAAATCGCTGGAAGCTACTTCCGGTTATATAAAAACGAATAAAATGTTAATTTTTTTAAAAATTATTATTATTAAATTTAAGTGTCCAAAATCTATTTATATTTATTTTTCAACTTCACTTTTTTTTTGGTTAAGAAATACTGTATTTAGATGTAATTGACCTAAATTGTTTACTGAACAGTTTTAGAAATTTTATATATTTAAGGCTTATCAAAAAGAAATCTTTAAAAAAAATCATCCTTTGAACATTAGGTATTAAAAAAAACAACTTAAATCTTCTATTTTAAATTATCTAACGCACGGATAATTGATTATTTTGTTATAATTCGTTGGCTTGAATATTATATAGCAAAATTTTTGGGAGAGAATTTTTTTTTAAAATAACACTACGATGCAAATAGAGGGATTATTCTAAATTATATTTTATATTTTTTTTATTGTTGATTTGGAGGAATAGAGGAATACACAACTCAGGAATGAATTGATTTATCGCGGGGAAAAGAATTCTGTTATCTAAAATTGGATATAGAACATTATAATACTCAGTCGATACAAAATAATATAGTCATCAAATTTTGATCGATCCTTTTTTTTTATTATATATCCGGTTTCGAATCCAGATTTTAGCGGATAATACAAAGTTTTTTGATCAAACTCGGTTCCAGCAAAAACTCGTAAATCCGGTGGATCCGAAAAATATGATAATTCATTAACTATCTAAAAGCGCATGACGGCTAAGCCTTGAGGTGAAACATCTGTTAATGCGATTAGTTTTAGCTTTTATATTTAAAAATGGATAGGGGGGTTTACCCACATTGTCACTTAAGAGACCATCTCGGTTCTAACTAATTCTATATCCAAAGCGGTCAACTTATTATTATTGCTCGGGCGAAGAACACTCAAAAAATTGGACATTTTGTAACGACTTACGGCGGGTATACTCATTACTAGGCCAATTCGAAAACCAACCCAATTACGAATTATTCGTATTCGATTCATTCGAAAAAATCGAATAGTTTACTATTCACAATTACACTGATCGAATAAGATAGTATATTATTTGATTCGTTCGAAGAACCTAGTATTCGTTATTCACTTCATTTCATTGTGATAAGGCCCTACTAATTTGTCAAATTTTTTTGTTATTTACAATTAGCGTCGTTAATCGGTTAAGCCGAGTCGGACTTGGCCTAAATTCGAGTTTTGAGTCGTAAAACTCATTTCGAATTGAGCGGAACAATGAGCCGTACGAGTTAGCTAGTTGAGTCGGTTTCGTCGATTTTTAAATATTTTCCTCGTGGAGCAGATAATAATAGCGTGCCGATTCAAAATAAATTCGAGTCAAGTTAAGTGTCGTATTTCACGACTCCAACTCGAATTTAGAATTCTAAAAATTCGACTTTTTAACAAAATATTTTGTAATCTCATCTCATTCCCTTTCGTATTTTTTTTTGATTTTTTATATAAAATGGCGGCTTAAATTATAATCTAAATTCCTAGGCAGTTCATTTAGACGAAACTCTGTATACTACATCGGGCACTTAGGGAAATAATAAAGGGCACGTGTCACATCACTCTACCCCGAAACTTGAAACTTATCTACGACATTTTTTTTTACTAATATTCTTTTCCTCACGATTAGAAAATTTACGTTTACATTCAATCAGATTTTTATTTCGACAAAAAATAAATTTTGTTTTTAAATTTACTTTAAAAAAACGAAATTTACCTATTCCATATTTAACATCGCGCGGTTTTATTTTGCTGATCAAACCGGTTCCCGAATAACCGGCTTTTTTAGCCGGATTCCAGTGGATATGATAATCCTTTAGCAATTCTCCTTCCGAGTTGAGGTCCGGGATTTTGTGAGATTCCGATTTTATTTCTTGCAAGCATAAAATGTCGGGTAATTCTTTCTCCAGAAATTCCAATCCATTTTTCTTTGGGGGAGAGTATAATTTAATTTTTTTTATTCACGAAATATTTTTTATCTTTTTTTGTTTCTTAAGAAATTACATTTCTAATTCAGTAATTTTTATCTTTCTTTCTATTTAATAGACACAATATTTCTAACCATTTTTTTTAACTAATTTCTTTTCAGAGCTTCTCCGTTCTTTTCTTTCTTCCTTATTTCATTCATTTTTTTAAGCTTTTATTTTATTCCCTTTTTCTATTCACGTGATCTTCTGTTCCTTTTTTTAACCTGTTTATTTCAAAAAATCTGCATTATTAGTCAAAAGTTATGCTAAAATTAAACTTATATATTCTAAAGATTTCATATAACCATTTTCAAAATTCGAAACCAAATCTATGATATAAAGAAACGATTGCTAGTAATCATATATTTTTTTTTATATAAAATTATAAAATGGCGACTCCTCTAGACCTAGTGACCTCATAGACACCAATTATTCTAACCCAACATCAGGGCTGATATATTATTGATTCCTTTATCCCCCATGAAGCATTATAATGAAATTCCATGTTCTCCCATATTTTCAGTCCCCTACGAAGTAATGTTCCATCTACAACAAATCATCAAAATTTCGATAATCGCATCCCAAATGTTCCACTATACCCCCTTTCATAAAACCCCCCTCTACTCAATTAATTATGTTTATATATATATAAAACTGCTTAACCATTTAATGCATCATAAAAAATCTCGGATTATAACAATATATCCAAATTATAATTAACTATATATTAAAATTAAGTCTTGCCGTCATTTCTCAAAATTCAATAGGAGTCATTTGCCCTAACTAACAGGTAAAGCTAGGATTATCCCAAGGGAGGGGTCTTCTTCCTCGTGATACGCTTCGTGGGTTGAGTACAGTTTTATATACACTTTTTTTGCAAAATAAATACTCTTTTTAAATGAATCAATTTCAGGCCGCGTTATCTGATTATTTTCAAAAACTCATTTCTAGTCTAAGATATTCAGCCCTTTAGGTCTGCGGGCTTTTAAACCTGTGTGCCCCAAAAAATATTTAGGCCATGTCTTGGTTGGTCTTATATATTTTTTGAAACTTATATCTGTTCAGAACCGCTCTATTTAGAATTTTGGATTAGGAACACCCTATACTGTTTTAAGCTCGTAAAAAAATTTAATATTAAAATTAATTTTTTTTTAAGCCATTAACTACCAAAGATATCTATATTTTCTCTGCAAAAATTCTCTTACATGATAATATCGTTAGAAAATAAGGGAATTAATAAGATTAATAAGATTAAATAACAATAAAATTTAATAACAAAAATAAAACAATAAAGTTTCATCTTTGGTTTTACATTATATATGTCGTAATTTTTAAAGGGATCATGACTATCCGGGATCTTCACGGGATTTAAAGGGATAGCTAAAAAATTAGGGTTGATAATTGAGGAATGATAATACGATGGATTATCACGTTTTAATCGTGATAAAGAGGAATCTTATTTTAAAAGCGTTTTCCACGAGTTTCGTTGCGTTTTTAATTTTCAATTTTGTTTTTTTTGGCCTTATGATATAAGATATGTCTAGTATAGGGTATCATTCGATAGCTAATCAAAAGATTTATTCAACTGGAGGTCAATCTCTGCCCCAGTGATAATACCGTATAGTTCTTTATCCTTTAAAAAATTGAAATTTTAAAGGGATCCCTTTAAATCCCGTGAAGATCCCGGATAGTCATGATCCCTTTAAAAATTACGACACATATATAAATATATTTAGTTTTCGATTTTATTTTTTAGGGGATGGAGGAAGGTTATTTCCCAGTTTACTCTGTTGCGTTAAAGTCTTCACTATTCAAGCAAAACCGGAAGCAAGATGGTTAAGAATGTTAGTCAAGATCTTACATCCAAAATTAACTTTTATTAGCTCCTCCCTAAATCGACGGAGTTTTCCCTAACTTCCTTAAGCAAATACAAACTACCACCAGAAGCTATCCAAAAAAGGTAAAATGTCGATAAGTTTCCTGCGCTGACTATTATTGACAGAACAAGAATATCGTTTCCTCGGGTCCAAATTGTCCATATTTGTAGCGATTTTTTTTAAAAAAATCGTCTCTCACGTAAAATTGATTAAAATCATAATAATTTAAAACAATATAAAATACTTGAGCGATCAATTAATAAATAATTTACGAATTTTATGATTAACTCTTATTAAAATAAAATGACGAAAAATTCAGATGGAACAATATAATATTTTGAGCCAAGCGAGTCCGGCTATTTGACAGAACAAGTATAATTTCCTCGGTCCAAATTGTCCATATTTGTCGCGATTTTTTTTGAAAAAAATCGTCTCTCACGTAAAATTGATTAAAATCATAATAATTTAAAACAATATAAAAAAATCAAGAGATTAATAAATAATTTATGGCCACTCTTTATAAAAAAAAAAAGTGACAAAAAATTCAGATGGAACAGTATAATATTTTGAGCCTTTTTATTATAAGCGACTCTTTTTTTTTTGTTTTTGAAAGAAAATGAATAAATCGATATTTGTATTCCTAACGTTTTCAGCGTCCATTTTTATTTTCTTTTATAGAAGATTTATTTTTTTTTAGCGTAAAAAAAAAATAAAATGAGAATATATAAATATTTTAGATTAGCGAGGAAAGTTGGGTTACAATATTTACGACAACAAAAAATATGCTTAAATATATTATTTATATCGGGAACGAGAACGCTCCTTCTAAAAAAATGAGTTCGGATTTGGGTTCGGGTTCAGTGAAAAATGGTTAGGAAACTAGAAGAATAATGACTTAATTAAACATCATTTTTTTTAAATTTATTTTAATTAGTATCAACATAAAAATAATTTATCATCATAATTATAATACTACGAAATACAATTTAAAATTTTTACTAAATATAATAAAAAATAATTACACGAAAAAAAATGATCCAAAAATGTTTAAAAAGAATGGTTTGGGTTCATCGAATCGGGAGGTTTAGGGTTCTTCGTCCCTGAGTTTTATTGGTTAAGCTTCTTTTTTTTAAAAAAAAAAAATTGCACTTTCTAAATATTCTTATTTTTGGTTCTTTTGAAGATTTTCCCTCGGCTTTATCAATCGTTAAGTAGTTACTTAATGGTGTTGGACGTTATAGTTTGGTCAATATACATTATATAGGTAATTTAAATAACAGAGTAGTAAAGACCTTAAGGTGTCAATTATTCCAAAAATATAATCTCAAATTTAAATATTAAGCATATATAAAGTATAAAGTTTAAACATATGTACCGATTGTAACTTTTCAAACAGATCCCAGATCAATGACTATCATTAATGCAAGTTTTAATGAAATTAATTACTACTTTAGTGTTGAATAAACATTTTCATCATCAATAATATATGGTCAATAATATGGAAATCTCAATTATATTTTTTTTAAAGATAATATGATTAGCATAAACTCACTGGTTTTTATCTGATTTTAAATATTTCATAAGACTTAACTCAATATTTTATCTAGAAAAATATTATGCAAACCTAAAGATTTTGGGGATCTATTCGTGTAATCTCTTGGTTCAAGCATTTTTTCTGGCTATTTCTAAAAATAGGCTCAAATAGAGCCATTTAACACAGAATTGAAATTGTCAGACAATTATATTTTTATAACTTACCCAAATTTGTAGAAGATCAGTTTTTGATAATAATAGTACATCAAACAATATCTACTCATATTAAGAAAATATAACAATTATTAAAAAATAAAACTCTTTAAACCTATAAAATAATGCAGGTGGATATGTGATTCCTGAAATATAAGAATCAGTAGGAATGTTGTTAGGGAGGGGCAGAATATTCCATTTTATATATGCATTACAAATGTTTTTTTATGGTCAATAAAAATCTAAGCCTTACTATATTTTCAACCAAAACAACTGGAAAAAAAAATAAATAACGAAATATTTATGAAATGAGAAAAGCATATGCTTATCAAAATTCATATAATTGTTTCACAAATTTATTATATAAAATTATTTACATTTGTTTTTAATTTTTTTTAAATTAAAAGGTTAGAAAAATAAACAAAAAATGTTGATATATCAATAAAGCATGTTATTGAACTTTGATTATTTATTAAGTGTAGTTCATTTTATTTTCGTGTACTATCATACTTAGTAAAAAAAAGAAAGAAAGGTGTATAGTTTTTTTTTTCTGTTTGCAGATAAAGCGTATTTTCCTTTTCTTCCTCAGACACTCTTTTACTACTTTAATTAATATTTCCTTATATCATGGATAAGTAAGTTAGGACCTTGTTTATAGTAAGTACAGTTTGTTTAAGTGGTCACTTTGTAATATACTAAAGGCAAGTAAATAAATTGTATAATAACTGAGAATCATGTTATAACTAGTGTTGTTAAATAACTCATTTTGAGTCTATGTATAGATTGTTGTTCCTTCTATGAGCAAAATCTTCAGGCTTGCCTATTATTTTCTGGATAAAGTATTAAGTTTCTAGCTGTTTAACAACACTAGTTATCACTCATTTGAGCAAACATGTGCCCACTATAAAATAAGGCCTTATTAATAAAAGTGAAAAACTTTAATACAAGCCCTTAGTCCATCCACATTCCAACAAGTTATTTTAAAATTCCATAGCTTATTCCTTGATGATTTAGATTGGGAATCAAAATTGATTTGATTTAAATTGGTGAATATTTTGTTCAATAATGTTTTGGGCTTTTTATTGAGGGTATCCATCTTATTTTCAAGATTTTTTGAGGATATTACTGTGGATTGAGCAGATATCTGTATATTTATGATGGATAGATTAGGATAATAAAATGAAATTTTTATTGGTTATTTTAAAATCCTAAAAAATCCAATCTTAGCATTTATTTTATGTTTCCTAAGCTAAATCTAATAAAGGAGCTTTGGGACCTAATAAAAGCAAAAAACCCAAATGATGTTAATAAATTAATGGCTAAAGTACTTATTTTATTTTACCATGGGAGAATTCTTTTAAAATAAACTATATTTCAGATTTAATTGATACTTACTTAAAAACAATCTTCTTTTCTTATTTAATTCCTTAAAACTGTATTAATTATATCTTGTTAAATATTATTAAACTTTATTATTTAGTTATACTATAAAATATTTCATTTAAACATTAATAATTTTATTATTATAAAGAATATAAGATCATATTAATGCAGCCAAAATATTCAAATAGAAATTTTTAGATGTAATTATGGTTCCTTTTTGGGAACACAGTTATAACAATATTTTTTATAGAAAACAAAATTTTTTAAAAGAGTAATAGAAATTACATCAACCGATATTTCATATATACAGGTAACTTTACAGTCATAAAGAAAAATAGTTGATAATAATATTGAATACAATTTTTTTTTAGTAATATATTTATTGAGTAGATTTAAAAAAATATATATGAATATAACAATATATTAAAAATTTTTTAAAAAAATTAATAAAAGTTAGGATATCTATATTCATTCATTTGTTTTGGGGATTGAGTTTTTAGTGGTGATCATTGAGTAGATTTAACATTCTAAGATTTATTTAATCAAAAAAAAGGGGGTATATTTACAGTATTATAATATCATTTTAATACCTTCAATGTAGCTTGTTTCTTTTTTGTTAATTTCTATGCAAAATATTTTATATAAATTATGATAATTTTAAATACCTTTTCATCAGTTTGTTTGGGACTATGATTGTCCTCTTCTAAAATCTCTGTATTATTTGATTCAGAATCCTAAAAATTATTAGGATACATTTCTATATATGTATATTTAAACCTCTTCTTTTTCTTTGGGCTTTAACTTCTGAGGCTTAGCTATTTTTTTCATTATAGTGCCTTTTTCAGCCTATAAATAAAATATTAACTATTAAAAAAAATAGTTGAATCATACAATTGTAGAACTTTTAGCAGATCTTAATCTAGAAGAAATAGGGACTCCCTTTTCTGGGTGAACTTCTTTGGGTATAGAATCAGTTCCATTCTATCACAAAATATTGATTTAAAAGATGCATATAAACAATTTACTTCAATTCCATTAGCCATTATTGGTTTAACAATCTTTTGAACCTAAGGAAAAATTATTTTCAACATGTATAATTTTTAAAAAAAAAAACCTTTTTCTTAGCAGGCATTTTAGTAAAAAGTCTTAACAAAATAGTGGGAATTTTAAAATGCGGTTTTTAAAATAGACAAGAAAATATTTTAAATAAAATATAATTTAAATTTTTTTTAAAAAAAAACAATGTGGTGTGTAACATATTCTATATGTTAAAATAACTAATGTGAAGAAAAATTTAACTAATAAATTAGTTGTATATTTTACGATATTTTTTTTCAAATTTAAAATTACTGCTTTATTAAAAATAATGTCTCACATCACAAGCAGAAGCGTAGAACTAGAACGTTTGCTTAAGGCAGTGATGCTCATATTTGAAAAGGAATGGTGCCTACTTCTATTCCTAAGATCCATATATGATTGGGAGTGGAGGTGTGGGGGGGGGGGTGTATTTCCTGTAGAGTACCTTAAATATAGTGTTTTATTTTAGCTAAAATAATTTAAGTAAGCATCGAGATTCGGCAAATATATGTTCAAGCTTTCTGTTAGTTATGTGCAAAATCTTTTGGATTACATTTTATTAATTTGGTTATAATCTTAATCGGACGTTTTTTTTAAATCGACCCGAATCGGGCTTTTTAATAACACTATTTGAAAAGTGAGGTGTGGAGATAATATGGCGTTGGAAGCATATAAATTTCACAATAAAATTTAGTAAGAGGGTAGGAATAAATATAAATATATTTTTTTTTATATGTGTAGTGATTAGCTATTGAACACGAGGATTGACAGATAAGAATAATGAATCAACATCATATTGTTTTTATAGATGGGGAAAAGTTCAAGAATGATTGGGATTATGGAATGTAGGAATTGTAAATATTTAAAATTATATGATTAAATATACATGATTAATATTATTGCGATATAAGTTATAGTATAATATAATTTGAATTCCCTTTATTTATTTCTTAATGGAGAAGTAGGAGAAAGTAAAAATACTTTAGAAAGGTAATCTCGGTAGGGCGAGGGGGGCTTAAAATTGCCCATGCCAGCTTTATTAAGTTTTAATTAAATTTAAAAATTAAATATGTGAATAGCTACAAAAAAAATTTTCACATTCAGGAGAAAGTTTTAAGATCAGAATAAACAAAATCTATATTATTATGTATATAATATAAAAAAACAAAAATAATCCTTCTATATAAATACGAAAATTATATTTTAAAATAATAGATTGTATTTTTTTTTGTTTCAGGAAAAAATTTTTTACTTGGAGTTGAGATATAATGGCTTTAAGTTTGTTGCCCATTAATTTTAAATCTTAAAGTTCAGCTTGGCCAAATAATGTGCGCAAAACTCCAATATTAATTTAAAATTTTAATTTTACAGTGAAGTTTTGTACTAGTCTTAAATTTATATTCATTTTTTTTATGTATATTTTTCATATATAAATTAAAAAAATTTACACAAAATTTAATGGCAAATAATTGTCTAGGATTCATAGGGTAGTTTATACTCAACATAATGCCTGAATTATAATCCAGGTCAAATCAGACTTTCCAAATCGCTCACAATAAATAATATTAATTTTTTTTTTAAATTCCGAATTCCTATGGAAAAAGAGCTAAATTCTCGCATAATATCTCGTTTTTTTAATTTATTTATTGATGGGCCAACTTATAGTGTTTGTTGAACGGCTCGATTTGAGCCTTTAAAAAGGGCTAACTCAATATTTTAGCCATAAAAAATATTGGCCAAGCCCTCGGGATTTCGTTAATAGATGCTCAAACCTTTGTGCCACCCTGGAGCAAAATCTCAAGACATGCATATATATTTTCCTAATAAAATATTGAGCTAGACCTTTTAAAAATGCTTTTATGGACATTCAGTTTTGTTAAAATTTATTCGATATTTATCCTTTTACTCCCTGTTTTCAATTCTTTTCTTTCTTTTTTTTTGCATTCTTTTGTTCACATTGGTGTTTTTTTTAAATAATACCTTTGTAGATATTGATGAATTAAAAACATTTGTCTCCAATATGGACGATGATCCATTTCCGGTTTTTATATCCTCTCCACGTAAATATTAACGGTTCTCAGGGATAACCGGAGATGTTCAACGATACCTTGCTAATGGTGAACTTTCTTAGCAGACTTTACCTTACCGCGAAACATAATAGAGTGACAGCTACCATGGCAAGGACACATGTCAGACAAAGATCAGTTCGCCATCTGTACTTATCACTAACATTTTATTATTGTTCATAGGTCCCAGCTGTAGGAAATTCTTTTATTTTTTTTCTTTTAACTTATTACTGATCTATGTCCCATGAAAGAATAAAAATTTGTGCAGCTCCCTAAATCACTGGGCATTAGTTTAACTAGCGGCGTAACTTATAAAAGCGAGGGGGACCACTCTCAGACCATCAGTTAAGGGGCTTTCGGCCAAGGTTTGAGAAATTGATGCACACAAATATTTATCAGTTTTAAAAGCATTTTTATTAATCCCTTAATTAATAGTTTTACTCTCAACTGCTTCAAGAAAGCCAGAAAACTATCCTTTGCTTGCCCATAATTTTTCTTCGGAGTATTAGTATATTAATAATTATTTCCAGAAATTTAACAACAGAAAACTTTTAATATTCATATTTAACAAATTTAATATTAAAAATATTATTTTATTGAGGTATTTATTTCTAATATTATATGATCTTTGAAGCTTTTAAACATATAATCTGCATTTTGCTCTAAGAGAGGTCCAAACCTCCCCCCCCCCGTCGTTAAGGCACTGATGACAATCAAAATAAATAAAGCGATAATCAATTTCTGTGAAACCGATGACTCTTTTAAAATAATGACTAAAATAAACAATTTATGTAAAGTGACAAGGTTATTAGAATAAAAAAAACATGCTAACAAATTCTTCTAAAACCAATAAAGCTTTTAAATATAAAAAACTGGCAAATTACTACGAAAATAATAAAGCAGAAATGGAAATATTAACATTAAATACCAAGAAGACGTCCAACAAGCCACACATACGCGCGACCAATGGGGGGGGGGACCTTTAAAAATCTTCACCTGCACACCCCACTCCCTCACAAAAAATTATACTTTGAAAGAAAAATTAGTAAAAATTAATAACTCAAAAAGATTTTTAATAAAAATCTAATATAGCTAAAGGACCTACAATAAACGAACCTAAGTATCTCCGATAAAATTAATGGAGAATAATTTATCTAATAGTCCCCCCCCCCTCTTAGAAAAATCACGCTTATGGAGCCGGACAATTAACTTCCCAAGTCTAACCTTGTAAAAAGCTCATATTCCCAAAACGAAACATAAACTAGGCAACTTATTACATACACCGAAGTAATGTTTAATATATCTCAAGCGAAATAACTACTACAACATTTTATTTTTATTAATCCAATAATATAATAAAAGTAACGCATAGCATTGTGGTAGACAAGGGGGGAGGGGTTTTTGGTGGTTGAAACCTATCATACTCCTTAACTCACGAATTTTTAATTTAGAAAAAAAAAACAAGCAATTAATTTATATTAATATAAGTCAACACAAAATTTATATACGAAAAAAGTGAAACACAATGTAAAATGATAAGAATAAGGAAGAAATAGAGTGAATCTAGCCAAGGTCTATGGAAAGAAGACCATTGGCTTCAAGGATAGCTATAGCCAGTCTCTGTCTGAGGCAGAAACATTCTCGAGGATCGTCAGTATGCTTGCCGGATGTGAGATCCTAAATCCTTGTACGAATACTTGGAAATTTTATGTTTTTTTTTTGCTTAAGTATGTTTGGACTTTATTTTTGATATTTTTCAGGCGAAATGAGCAGAACAGACTTCAATTTTATTAAAAATACTAGTTTTATTTCATAATATTGCATATTATATATGTTTGATTAAAAATACAATTTAAATAAATAAATTAAGAGCCAGACCAGCTATTAAAATAATTTTTAAATATTAGGCGCTTTCTTTCTTTCTTTGCGAGCGAGTAAATTTTTTTTTAGCGGGTAGGCGGGTTAAATAATTTTCAAAACAAGGAGTGTGAGGGCTTTTTAGCTGGAAACTCTCCCATTGCAGACCTCTAATGCCGCTACTAAATATAAAAGTGTCAAAGCTATAGCTATACCGAGTCTCATATTTTAAATAATGAATGATAATAGTAAAACTTAGTATTCTTGTATTGCTTTTCTGCTTTGTAGAGTCATCCTACTGTCTTTCTATCTTTAGTAATTTTAGTATATTTTGCTAATATTTTTATTTGTGTACTGTTTACCCGGGTGGAGTGAAGATTAAACTGAAATGTGTATTCTTTAAGTATTACCCTACGCTTTTAAAATTAGTGTTTTCAAAAGTTTTGGCAGACTTCATGCTTAGGACTGCGTTTTCAATATCAGATTCATATCAAACTTTTAGAAATAAACTCAATTTAAAATTTAATGAGAGAGTCTATTTTATTTCCTATATCTATTAAATTATTTTATTTTTAATTTAATTTTATAATATTTTTATAATATTTTTATTTTATATTTAATTTAATTTAATTTAATTTTATATTTAATTTTATTTAATTCATTGGTTTCTTTATTTGATTAGTAGCTGATATAATATATTATCAAAAGGTAAATGATTTATTTTTCAAGATAAAATTAAGAAAGGTGAATAAATATAAAAATAGAATTTAGGGAAAAGGGATAAATTAGCTGAAAAGAACAAACATCTGTAAGGATTATTGAATTATAAGATTCAATGATATTTTGAATCGGGTAAAATTAACCTTAATATTATTAATTTAAAAATTCGATTTTAATTTTTTTTTTGTACCAATTTTCCGACCATCGCATTTTTAATATCTATATCTAATTCCCCCCCCCCCTCCCAATGTTAGGGCTTAGCGGATCTCTATAGAGTATAATTTATATATATATATACAATTTTAGTGCCCAGTACGGTTGGAATTTGCATTTTTGCCCCGGTCCATCCAACCCGAATCAAATTTTTTAATTAAGGATGCCTAGCATGGCCCAGTACTTCAAAATCCAGATAATATATCGTATGGAAAAATTAAGGAATCATGATTAGGATTTCGGTTTTCATGATTTTGTTATTTATTGAAATAAACACAAAATAAAAAAGAGGTGTAGGAAAAAGGAAATCGTTTTTATGAATGAATGATCATAATAGAAAGTGGCATTTAATGATTAATAATTTAAATTAGAAAAATTTTGGCGCAAGTTTTAATTTTCCTTAAACATATTCGATAAATAATTATATAGTTTAAAGGTTAGTTTTCTATCTTATAACCAAATATTAAATCAAAATTAAAAAATAAAGAATATAAATGGAGATATATATATTCGAAAATATGAGGTCTATTAGACCACCCCCCCTCCCCCAAACAGAACAATTACACCGGAAGTTATTTTAAATGGTTAAAAATTACGAACAAAATAAAAATTATATTATTTCGATAAAAAAAAAAATTTAGGCTTTAGAAATATAATTTTTATTTCTAATTCTCTCTATTAAACACCTCGGGCATTTCTACTTTCCTCCAGCGAGGCCCGGCTCCTTGATTTTTTTTCCCCCGCCCCATCCAGCCCTGGCCGAATAGAAGTTTTTCAGACTTTACCAGCCTGGTATCATGTCGAACATTCCAGATCTCCAATAAATATAAATATATTTTTAGTTTTTAAAATGAGTAATAATGGTTTAATTTATTTTTATTTTTTTAAAAAAAAAATGAAAGGTTTTTCTTTTTCTACACGGGGAAAATAAAAAAAAAATTTTTTTTTTTGTTATTGTTATTACCTATAATTAGTCCCAGATAGGCTAGACTAAATTAGCTACCAGTTTAAGTCAACGAATTCTTTAAAATTTACTTAATCAAAATGTAGATGTCCTATTATAATTAGTATATAAACAAATTTTTGGTTATAGTTAACTAAATTTTCTGTGATCATATGTTTATTAAAACAATTACAGAGATTAGTATTAGTTAGACGGCTACCGCCTAACTCAATACCTTATCTTATCCGGAAAAATATTACGCACGCCCAAAGAATTTGGTCATGGATGGCACAAAGGTTTAGGCCATCTTATCAGCTGAATCTCGAGGTCTTAGGAAACGTTTTTCCGGATAAAATACTAAGTCAGCAGTTTACATGCATCATTGGATTATTTAATTTTGCAAAAAAGACAAAAAACTATTTTTTTTTATCTAAACGTAAAAATTCCAGTTTAGTTTGGCATGGGACAAACGGATATACTAAATTGATGAGTAAATAAATGTTTTAACATATCTTTCATTCTATTAAATTTGGCTAGAAATGTATCCCTGAAATTAAATATACTTTCATTACGATAGGTGAACAATAAAATTATCTTGGTGCTGTCTGATTCTAAATATGAATAGAACTCACTTTCGTTTGGATCAAGTGACAGCTCTGTTATTGGAGTTTTAAAAGATTTGTGATTGCATGTGTTTTTTTAGATCTCAACCAATTTAGACAAGCTAGCACTAGATTGTTAAAGCATCGAGGTTAGGGAAAATGGATGTCCAAGCATTTCTGCCAGCTATGAGCAAAATCTTAACGCTTACCCAATGTTATTTTGGTTATAATATTAATCGGACCGTTACTTTTAAAAAACCGACCCGAAGCGGGTGTTTTTTAACAACACCGGTTACATCCGACGGTTTAACGAATCATCTGTTAAATGGTTTTTTAAAAATTTTTTTTCATCCTTCCGTGTCACCCGTTGCAAAGAGCGAATGTTGTCACGAATCCCACTCAGTTCATGAGAGGTAAATAAATATAATTTTTTTCTTTCCAATGAGATAAATCTCGAAAATTTCATCTTGAGTATTCCACGGTTTATTTTTTTATATCACATTCATCCAAAAATTCCTATTTTTTTAAAAAATAATCCTTGGTTGATTTAAATCACGATTTTAAAAGTCGTAAACATCATTTTTGTTGATTTTTTCTAAAATATTTTTAGGGCTAATCAAAAAAAAATATTCTAATAAATGCTTATTGACGACTTTTCTTTTCTTTTTTTTGTTAAATCTTGAAAATCACAGAAAGATTGGAATCAGTTTGGCAATATCATGTTCTGAAAAATCCTTTATCATTCCAAACTTCTGGGAAATAATAGGGATGAATTACCTACAATATAGTGAATTAGGAATGAATTCAACTAGATTATCCTTTACACCACAAATACAAAATGATAAGTATTTCTAAAAAAGGCGATTAGCGTTTCGCGACTCAAGTCGCGCGATCGGTAACTATAAACGCGATATGATATTTACTGTATTTTGTATTTATAGGCGGTCAAATCGCTATCGCAATCGCGCCACTACTAATTCAAGGTTATGCCTTGCAAATTTAAAATAAAACTGTTTTTATGTTACATAACTAAAAAACCAAGTAATTTTTTTAAAAGAACAAATCCTTCCTTTCTTTAAAAAAAATTCTCTAACAGAAGAACCGTTTAATGCATCTAATTGCCCCCCCCCCCCTCAATAAAAATTACCAATCATTCCACTAACGACTCCATTTTTAAAAATGGCTGACCATATATTTTAGGGCAAAAAAGTATTATATACGCGAGCCCTGATGATTTTGCTCGTAAATGGAAGAAAAGGTGTTGGGGCATTCTATCTAAGAAAACATGAGGTTTGCCTAACATTATTTTTTGGAGTAGTCTATAATTAATTTTAAATTTAAAATTATCATTTGGTGTTAGCAACCATTTTAAAAAAACGCAGTTTACTTTTTTTTATTCTTCGTGTGTGTTTGTAATATTGTATAAAATGAAATAGAAATACTTACTTTTACTTTATACAGGAATATTTAGAAATTAAAGATACAAGGAACGCAGACAATATAATTTTCAATTCTCAAAGACAATTCTTTTCTTTTTTATATTTTGTTAGGAAAATTATTATGCAAGCCTTAAGATTTTGCTCATATTAACGGAATTATTTTTTCTGGCTAAAATATTGAGTTAGCCTTTTAAAATTGGCACAAATCGAGAAATTACCAAACTTTGACCATCTCAATCGTGACTAAATCAAGCTTTTGGCCAAAAAATAGGAATTATGTCTCTAAGTTGAGTCTCGACTTGAAGATTGATTGGAATATTTTTGGTTAAAAAATATAGTTACGCTGTTTTATAGTTGACTAAAGTTAGGTAGTTGAAACAACACTAATAAAACACGTTTATAAAATAAGCTATAAATTTGGGGATGAAAGAAAAGAAATGAATGAATAAAAATGTAATTTTTGAAAATTCTCTTATTTTTTTAAAGGCTATTTAAAACATTTTTATTTCGTAAAAATAAATTGCGTTATATTAGGTAAAAAAAAATAACAATAAAATAATTATATTATCAAAAGAACAAAATAAAATAAAAAAAACTTGAATTAATTAGTTTAAGTTGTCGATGAAATTAAAAAGTGAAAATTTGATATTTTAATTTTATTATTTGTTTTAAAAAATTATTTTATTATCAAAATAAAGAAAGAAAGAAAGATAGATAGATAGATAGATAGATAGATAGAAAGAAAGAAAGAAAGAAAGAAAGAAAGAAAGAAAGAAAGAAAGAAAGAAAGAAAGAAAGAAAGAAAGAAAGAAAGAAAGAAAGAAAGAAAGAAAGAAAGAAAGAAAGAAAGAAAGAAAGAAAGAAAGAATGAAAGAAAGTAAGAAATAGTATTAAAAAATTAGGTAAACATTAATAAAAACATAACATAAATAATAAATAAAAAATAAATAAAATATTAAAAAGAAATAATAAAACGTTTTGAAATGTTTTTTTTAAAATTATTTATTTTTATTATTTTTTTCGATTTTAATTTTATCTTTTCTTTTATTTTTTTTTAGTTCGTTAAGTAATAAAAAAATAAAATAATTAAATTTTAATTTACCTTGAATTATTAATTTTAGGAATTCTCCATAACCTATTATCGCGTCTCTAATTTTTTGTAAATCAAAATTCCCTAGAGATGTCTTTGTGAAAAATATCATCTTTCCTTTTTCACAAAAAATTGCAACCAGACGATTTTTATATAAAAAAAAATTAAAATACATTTTCAAATGGACGATAGTTCGGACGATAATGAATCCAATTCCATTCTCAAAAAGCAAAGGTAATAATTTCTTTAGGATATTTACCTTGTAATTAAGTTTTATATTTACCTTAGATCAACAAATTTTATTTTGGTTTTTTACATTTTATTTTTAGTAGCTATCGTTTTACTTAACATCTCTTTCTAAATGATAAAATAAATTTGATAAGGGAAAAACTTTATAATTTATTTGTAAATGCAAGATTGATTCTAAATCTTTTGCCAAAAAAATAATCATATTTTGAAATTAACTTGGCCAAACGATTTATAATTCTTTCCAACAATTTTATAAATAGATTATTTTAAATAAAATTATCTTCCACTCCATATCCCCCCCCCCCACATATTCACACATGGATTATGGATTTTAAGTTTTTATCAATATATATTACTCATTTTTTTTCTTCTCTCTAATCAATCAATTACAATAATTAAAATATATATATGATTTTATATAAAACTATTGAATAGTTTCACTCAAACTCGTTATGATTATTGAAAAAAATTTTCCTTTTGTATTTTTTTTAATGACCATTATCCACATGCATATGTGCTTCTGTTATTGTGATATTTTTTGTTAATGGTTTTTAACATTTTTATACTTAGACTGAGACTGACAATGAAAAACAGCTGAGGACGCCATTTCGATTACCCATATCATTAAAAAAACGAGAAGCTAATTTATTCCTAATGTGACAAAACTTTATTTAAGAATTGCCTGATCACCGAGATAATAAAAAAAGCAAGTTATCCATTTAATAGTAGTCTTTAACGCGAGAATAATTTTTATATGGACTACCAAAATGGCCGGTCCAGTTGATTTGCATTCAACGACGCTTTTCTAATGCATTATTGTGAATGCATCGTCAGTCTAGGTATTATTATATGTCATTGTTACAGCTCTAGTATCTTTCCTAAAATATTTGATAATGTTATAGTATCTTTATATAGATGTGACTTAGAAAGGTTAGAAACCCTGCCTAAGCCCGCAGAAAAACTAACTAGCACCAGGTAAGTGTTTTTAAGGGGGGGGGGGTGTGAAAAATTCGAAAATAGCACTCTCATCAAGGTTTAGCAAGATTAAGTTGAAAATATTATTTTATTGTGCACGTGACCGAAATTCCGAATCAAACCGTATTATAACAACGGTGTTTTTGTTAAGTTTTGAACAGTCCCTTTTTTAACTTATTTTATTATTTTTATTTTTTGTTGTAATGTTAAATGGATAAGGTATCTTAATAAATTTTTACGCGGTTACCTTTTGCGTTTGGCGTTTTTTTTTCTAAGATTTTTCTTTAGGCATAAGAAAAAAGACATACCTTTTTTTTCTAAAAAAAAAAGAAAAATAAATATTTGAATACAACAGTTATGAGAATTCACCTCACCCCCCCCCCCCCTCTCATCCCTTATATTTTTCTTAAAATTGCAAACAATATAAGATCGTTATTAACTTTTAATATTTTTGAAACATTCTAGTCAAATTTTCCAGTAAAAATACATGTTTTATAAGAATAAAATAGCTATTAAGAGAAGCCAAAAACATTTACAATCCCCCCCCCTCCCATTCCGTTCCATCATATTCCTAAGAAAAATTAGAACGCATCGCATCGACTTGTTCGAATGTCTATGATCTTGCGTGGAAAAGTTATAAACTAATATATATTTTTTTGAAAAAAGTTAATGAATTCAAATTTAAATCACGTGTCTTCGATGCCGATGTTCAGTAGTTATTGAATCTCCTATCAATACCATATGCATTGATTTTAATAAAATTGTATCAACTTAAATATTAAATCAGCTAGTGAGGCCATTTTGGTTTCCCTTAATAATATAAATCATTTATATTACAATTTCGTGATAACTTATTAAAAATAAAATTTATCAGACTTTCATTTATTTATAAAAATTGATTTCTATGGAAAAAATGGCGTCACCAGCTGATTTATATATCATAATGTCAACGACGCTTTAAAATGCAATTCATATTGAATCTTCTTTCTAGGAAGGAAGGAAGGAAGGAAGGAAGGAAGGAAGGCAAATATTATTATAATGTCACTCAACAATACAAAAGGAAGGGTGTAGGATTCATACTTCCGGATAAACGGAATCTTTATTTTTGTTCACGTCAATATAAAAAAAATGCATCCTCCATTTTTGTTTATTATAGATTCAGAAGGAGGATGAAATACAAGTTAGAGATTTTAGGAAGCAGAGGAATGAAGAGAAAAATTTTTTTAAAAAAAGAAAGGAATGAATAAAAATACAAAAGTAAAAAGAAAAGAAAAACAAAAAATAAAACTAAAACAAAATAACGGGGAAAAAAAATTAAACCTAGATCCAAAATTACAAATTAAACAATTTTTTTTTTCTCTTCTTTTATAAAATTAATATATTTACTTTTTATTTAAGTAATTATCACCTTCTATTTTTTAATATAATTTTTTTAATTTTTTTTAAAAGGTCATATTTAATTATCATTTTTTGATTATAAAAATAAAATAATATTTATATTTTTTGATAAATTTATGTTTTAAAAATAATTTTAATTCTTTTCATAGTTATGCTAATGACGTTCCCTCTTCTTTTTATCAAGAGGAAGCACATCAAAGTTACCTACTATTAAATAAAAAATCAATTTTTTTCTCGAGGATGTAAGTGGTGGGAATTTTTGGGAATATTTTTAAATGATTATCCTTTTTATAAATCACACGCTCACAAAATTAATTTTTTTTTTACTTAACAATTCGAAGCCAATAATAAGAAATTACGTATTTCGTAAACAGTTAATAATTTATTCGAAAAAATTTTTGATATAAATTAAGGCAATAAAAATGAATAAATAAAAGAAAAGAAAAAACCGAAATGAAATGAAAGAAAGAATAAAAAAAAAGAGAAATGAAAAATATTTAAAAAAAAATGTAATCATATTAATATTACTCTGTAATTAATGCTTTGTTTGTGTACATTGAAAGCAATGCGATATAGATAGTTCAGACGTATGGTTTATTCTGTAATTTAAGTATCTTACTATTATTCCGCTTACTATAAGCCTTAGATTGCCATAGCAGCTCTTAAAAACCGTGGCCCTTTCCAACGCGTACTTTTTTTTATAACGCTAAGGGGAAATTTATATTTTTCAAATATCGGCTGGTTAATTTTTTTTCTAAACTTCTCTTGTGTGTCTCTATAAAAGATTTAAAAGACAAGGGAAAAGCTGGCTAAGATGACCTTTTAGGGTGAACATTTTATCCGCTTGACCGCTCGCCGCCTTAAATAATATATTATATATTCTATTTTTGGGGTATAATATTATATTGATGATAGATTGATGGGTGTCATTAAATGAGAATTTGTATTTATATTCAATAAACAATTTTTTTTAACGGTTGAAAATTTTTTTTTTTCTAATGGATGGATGGATGGATAGGAATCTTTGTTTTCGATAAAGTGTCTTATAGCGGACCGCTATTATTTAAGAAACTCGATTCGGTCCCAGCTGCTTCATTCGTAAACTTTTTTTGCTTCGTTTATTTATTATTAGATTTAAAATTTCAAATTATTGTGTTTTTTTTTTCTGACTATTTCATAAGTTGAAAATGATTTTCCTCGCTCTTCTCTTCTCTTCTCTTCTCTTCTCTTCTCTTCTCTTCTCTTCTCTTCTCTTCTCTTCTCTTCTCTTCTCTTCTCTTCTCTTCTCTTCTCTTCTCTTCTTCTTCTCTTCTTCTTCTCTTCTCTTCTCTTCTCTTCTCTTCTCTTCTCTTCTCTTCTCTTCTCTTCTCTCTCTCTTCTCTTCTCTTCTCTTCTCTTCTCTTCTCTTCTCTTCTCTTCTCTTCTCTTCTCTTCTCTCTCTCTTCTCTTCTCTTCTCTTCTCTTTTATTTTCTTTTCTAGTTTATTTAAAGTTAAAATTTTTTTTATCGCATATTTTTTTCTTCTTTTTTTTTTACTTGTTTTTAAAAAAAATTTTTTTTTAAAATGATAACAAAATAAATGAACCTTGAATATTTAAGGCTAATTTATTTTGCCATGCTTAGCAAAACCTTGAATTTATATCCAAAAATGATTTTATAATTAATTTAAAAATCCAAACCATCGTAAAATGAAAGTTAAAAGTTGGACCGGACCTTAAAAAGGATCAAATGATCCAAGTTTTTAACATCTAGGGTAGGTTGTAGCGGGGCGTTAAAATATAAATTAAGAATTTAAATATGAAAAAATCCGGCCCTAGCTTGAAAACGGAAGTTTCCAAAACAAAAACTGGGCTCTCCTTAGAAATTTAATTTCCGGTCTCATTGTATATATTTTAAAAAAAATACTTAGTTTTTTTGTTCTCGAATCCTATTTCCAATCTCAAAAAATTCTTAAAATCATATTCGAGATAAATACAATTACTTTAGGCTCTAAGTAGAGATCTGCAAAAGTAGGCCCAGCCCGGGCCCGAACCCGGCCCTAATATTTTTTTTGAAATTCGGGCCGGGTTGTGTCGGGCTTTGGAAATTTTTTTTAATATCTAAATTTATCAATTTTATGTTAAATTTTTAAATGTAAAATAAAAATATTGGATTTTATTTATAGAAACTAGACACCATATAACATACATATATCATTTATTTTGAGTAATTATAAAAATTCATTTCTATATTTACGTAAATTCGGGCCGGGCCGGTAAATTTTTTAAAAAATATATCGGGTTCTGGCCGGGCCGAGCTTGAAAAATTAGGCTCGATGCAGATCACTAGCTCTAAATTCTAAAATATCAAAAAAATTACGATTTTGCAAAACTTTTGAAATTTTATAGGAAAAAAAAAATATATAAGCCTTTTTTAATATAAAAAATTAGAACACATATCCTAATTACTAAAAAATTGTGAAAATTTAAAACATACGCTTTTCTCATTAAAAAATGTTTAAAACTTTTGAAATTAAGAAGAAATCTATTTTTGGGCGTTTTAATTTCATCCAAGAAAATTATGCCATTTTGTGATTTATTTGATTTGTAAAAATATGATTAATTAAAAGAGAA